AAGAAGTTTTCATGTATATTTTAAAAATTGTATGTAAAACTATTAAAAAAGCGCGTGACTGGGCTTGTTCCAAGTTTTTTTCCCCGACTGTATATGACTTGCGGGGCAAGCCAATGAACAGGGAGCCAGGTTTCTATCTTCCCAGAGGAACTTCGTTCTAAACTCTGGCCCCAGAATGTAGTTGGCCGTGAGGTAAGCGGTCCTCCTCCCGCTACGTCAACTTCGTCATAGTGGGAAGTAAGGGGTGGAGGAAAAAGAAGAAGAAAAAAAAGAGATGACGAAGGTCAGAAAGAAACCCTCAAGGTGTTCGAACTCGAAGATGTTTCAACGCCACTTCAATCCACCTCAAACAGTCAGCATTTCTACTCACTTCCACATCTACGAGTTCACAGGAGAACATCGTCTACACCTATACACAAAATCCCTGAGATGCGGTGGGCGTGGCTGCGTGCTTGAATTGGACGTGGCGGCGGCCATAGTTTTCGCGAGATATTTTTATATTGAGACAGTTGTAATAATATCTTTGTCCAGCACGAAACAAGAGGACAGTTGCCTTGAGTTGAAATATTCCACGAATAACCCATCCTATGCTACGTTCAAATGCCACGCCCACTCCGTCTCAGGGGTAAGGAGTGTACATATAGCCTAACCTATCATCACACCGAAGACCTGCTGACACTCCTGTTAACCACAGCGCGATGATGTGCCTCATCCAAGAAGTGGTGATCAGGATAGAACGTTTGTTAATTCCACGTCGGTATAGCCTCATGACCGGTGATTCAGGAGAAGTTGCGTCTGCTGGCACAATATTTTTCTGTTTATATTGAAGATTACAAAGTATCCCATCACAAGGGCACGTGCAGGGTGGAAATCTAATTATTCACCACCTCAAGCACTCTGGGACATGCAACCCTTCAAGAAGATGGTTCTCTTAGCCAGATACCAAAGAAGTCTGGAAAGAATCGGAAAGAGTTAAAAAAGCGAAGTAGACAGGGACCTTTCCTTCTAATCTATTTTGACTGGTTTTTTTAGTTAGGAGTAAGATGGAAGGAGGCGCTCGACGGAAGATAAGGAAGGGACGGGATGGAATAGAGGTGATCGAACCTGGACTCCTACCCCTCAACCTGACTGCAAGCGCGGATTGCGAGCGCTACCTGCCGAACGTTTGGGACAGCCAAGAAAGTGTGACCGCACCCGGAGAGAGATTTAGGGATGGATATTGCAGATTTAACAGGCAAACTCGAAAGCGTTCGCAAGGGCAAAAGGCAAGTGGGGAGGAAGGGGGGGGGGTGTCAAGTGGCCGCGTGCCATGTCAACCAGTAGATGCCGCTTTCGTTTTAGTGAGAGGGAGCAGACAAGCATATAGTCGTTTTCTCTGCAAACGCTGGAGCGCCTTCCGCGCGCTGGGTTTGGCGCGGCGCTAGCCCGTTCTCCACCCAGTGCAACATTTGGTGAGAAAGAGCTAGCGCCCCGCCGATTTCAGCCCTCCTAACACGCCCCAGCGTCTGCAGCGAAAGCGGCTGTACATACCACAGCATAGTTGCTCACCGCCTGACACCTCCAACTATCGTTACCCCCTACTCAATCCACCCAGAGGCCGGAAGTCCCTATCGTAACGCTTCGCCGTGGTCCCTTATATATGTAGACGTTTTCGTTGCTCTGAATAGAACCACCGGGTGGACCAAGCGCCAGAGCACCAATGAGTCAGAAAAAAATCCGAACTAGTTGTTTGACTCAGAAATAAACTACCTCATAAAAATATCGACAGCACAGGCAGAGATCTAACTGGCTATGAACAGCAATGAATAACGTCGATGTCAACCCGTTATGACTGTGAGTCAGCAACCGGATCTCTGGTTGAGTCAGGGTAAGGTCAATCCAAGTACAGCCCGGTTTTACATACATATATGACTGTAACACAGGAGCACAAGGTACAACGTCATTGGGAGGGTTTTATAGGGGACAATACTTGGCCCTCGAGGAGGGGCCGCCTCGATGGATATTTTCCAAGCCAAGATAAAAATTCTCGGCGGAGGGGGTATTACTGACGCTGCCATTCACGATGCTGTGACCTGTGAAAGTGACTATTGCCAAAGATCGCTTGAAGGCAGTGGGTCAGCGTAACTGGTACAAGGGCTGAAGGAGGGTGTTTGGCCAGACTGCCCAAGGCTTTGTAGGGGTGAGGCCAACTCTGTTCCACTAATGACGCTGGCAACAACCGCTCGCCTCCAATCGTGCACTGCCTTATCGCTTACCAGTAACTTGACAAAAGTTTACAAAAGTGGACAAGGAAGGAAGAGTGATGAGGAGGGTGGGTCTGAATGCGCACTACTGAAGGACCGCAGGTTTGATGGCTACAGACGCCGCACT